TATGCTTTTTGGTAAAGGAAATAGCCAATGGCCCCATTTAACTAAATATACCTTTCTCCTTTCCTTTCCTGCCTCCTGCCCCGCTTCTGCACCACTTAGAATTTATTCCAACTTTTGAGTTGTGTGTTCTTAACTATTTTCAAAATGTGGTCTAGAGTTTTGCTATTTAACACTGCCTTGGAGGTTCCTGCTCAAACATTATTTATAGGTTACATCTTTCTGATATTTCCAATAACAGGTCACTTGCATGGGTCTGGTAAGACTCAAATGCATGCCTAATTCTACCAGATAGCACGGCTTAGCGAGGCTGGAGTGGTTTGGCTAAACACATAGATCTATTTTAGTCTATTTATTGCCATGATGGTGTGGACAGTGTGCCATGAGGACGCCAGAAATCTGGCTCCCTGGGCTGTGTCATTTAGGTCATAGCTTTGCAGTTCTGGCTAAGTCACTTAGGCTGCTGGGGCTCAGTTATCGCATTTATAAAATGACATCTCGGGCTCCTACCAGCTTTGATATCCTATGCTGCCTTTCTATATTTAGGTTAGAGCCATCTCTGGTTAGCATTCTAACAGTAGCTTCTCTAACATTAGCATCGTGGTCAAGAATATGGGCTGTGGGGTTAGGCTGTCTGGATTCAAACCCAGCTCCACCACACTAGCAGGGTGGCCTGGGCAATTTACTATCACAGCTTCATCAGGTACAAGCAGGGAATGAGGTTGCAACCTACCCCATAGGGTGACTCAGTTACGATTTTCCTATAGGATGGAGTATTGTGGCCTACCTCATAGGGTGACTGTGTACCTCATAGGGTAGGATATCACGACCTACTCCATCGGGTGGGGGTGTCATGAGCTACCCAATAGAGTGAGTGTGACCAGTAAGTAAAAGCATATTTTTAAGGTGCTTTAAATGGCGCCTGGTACATGGCGAGTCCTCCTTAAATGTTACCTAGGATTGTTACTACTACAATCGCTCACATCCTTCAAGGTCTAATTTTAATGCCCTCTCTTCCATAACATCTTTCTTGATTGTCTTAAGAAGACAACAACTTTTCCTTCCCCGGACCTTTCGAAGCAAAGACAACAGATTCTGCTCTGGCACTTGAGTTTCTTCTTTCTACCTTTCTGTTTTTAAATCATGAGTCAGTACCCACGAGTCAGTGTGCCTGGCATTGTCACATAAGGTTTCTCGCTTAAGTCACATAGTCAAAGACCTGTTACCCATCTCATTTTACAGATCAGAAAATTGAAGTGTAGAGCAGGGAAGGGACATAATCAAGGTGACAGAGTTCACAAATGACAGTCCTGTCATCTCCTCCAAGCCTTCTGAGTCTACCACCACAACAACCTTGCATATTAATTAGCTATGAAACCTAACTCTCAAACCTCTTTGTTGTTACTCATGGCACACTGGAGGCTCAAAACCGGGTGTGCTAAATGGACCAGCAGAGTTGAACTTCTTAATCCCACGATGTCATTTCCTTATAAATGCTAAATAACCCTGGAGGTTCCAAGTCATGTCAATTCAGCATGTAGCCTTTATATATGTTATAGGGTACATAATGCTGGCTGGCTTCCTTATAGAAAATACTATATTAATTCCTGCCAGTTATTTTCCTCTCCTGAACTAATTTAATCTCTTTCTAGTTTCATGTGCTTATGGAAATAGGCAGCCAGAACTATTTGGTAAGCAAATTGATGTGTCTATTCTTGGTAGGTGATAATATGAGTCCAGCCAGATCCCACCAGCACCTCTATGAAAATAGATTTCTGGTTAATACTGACTAACTTTAGGTTCTCATTTTACTTTGAATGTTTTTTTCACCTTTTCAACTGAATTTCCCTTAAAGAAGGGTAAGCAGAGCTAAGTTTGCTAGTCCTTGGATAGGCATTTGAGTCAACCGTGGTACCTGAGCCCTATTGATTTATTGTCCTAATACATGGGAAGAGATGTTACATTTTTAAAATTTAGTCATCACTGATTATCACCTCCTATACCAAGGAAGACCATAGAAATGCCTTCAATTCAGAATCTAGGCTAATGTAGAAGAAGAGAAAAGTACAAGAAAGAGATAGAAGCAAACAGAAGGAGAAAGGCAGGTCCATACTTGAGCGGGAACCAGGTATTGTCTTAGAAGAAAGTGATCTGGAGATGACAAAAATGTGAATCGTCTAAACAGGGTTCTTCAGGTGTGTTAGGAAGCACAAGAGTCCAGCTTAGAGAGTGGAACTTTGGAGGATTTCTAAGACGTGTGGCTCCAAGTGTTTGTTACATGAGAAAAATAGATTATAGGCCCATGCGCACAGTATGTGAACTCATTTTGTGAAAATAAACACGTGCGCAAATATGTTTGAAAAAATCTGAAGGTATAGTCACTAAAATTTTAACACTTGTTTTTCCTTTGCTTGTCTGTAGTACTTGGTTTTGTAGAATAAACATATATCACATGCCATGTAAAAAACGAAGGCCAAAAAATTCACAAAGAGCAGGATTTTGGAATGAAGGATTTTGTCGAAATCTGACAAATTGTATTACTTCAGATACAACAACATGTACAAAGCCTTGGAGGTTTATTAGAGAATGTGTTTGTGGACTTGATACTTTCCTTTTTAGTCTATGGGCTTCCCTTCAGTAGAAAGAAGCAATTCTGTGAATTTTGTTTGTCGATGGTTTCTGTGAATCATCATATAAAATTTTTAAGGTAAAATTCTCCCCCAAAACAACTTTAATGGTGAATGTGAAAGTTCTACAAATAGAAAAGTATGGGCATCATTAGGCAGTACTGGGAAAGGCTGTGACATACTGCCTTGGACACTGGGATTTGCATTTTTAAAACAGCATTCTTATTTTTTTATCACCTACAGCACCTGCTCTTCCTAGGTGGTCTCCCATCCAAGTACTAACCAGGCCCAACCCTGCTTAGCTTCCGAGATCACATGGGATCAGGCACATTCAGGGTGGCATGGCCGTGGACTAAAGCAGCATTCTTAATGTTACAAATTGATTCAGCATCTGAAAAAAATTTTGAAAAGTAAACTTGCTATTCCACTAACCAGATCTATCTAACTAGCACTCTGCTTTGAGGGGTAATGTATTAGCTGTGGATCTAAAGACATTGACAAGAGTTTTCACAGTTTTCTCTTTTTGCTTTGTTAATCAGTTTTTTAAATGTACAAATGTAAAAGGTAAAAGCGCCTCACAACTATGCACAAAAGGAGACTTTAACTCACAAAAAGTAGACCCTCCGTAGTTTCAATAAGTCTTCAAGCAAATTCTCTTCCGGCCATAGACTTTGGGTGTAGAAAATAATCTTATCTGAACAGGCGTATGAGTAGAGTTTATAATGGAGGCAAAGGTGAAAGGCATCTGTGCTACCTGCCCTCTCAGGTCCTGCTGGTTTTACAATACCTTGATTCCTGCCTGGTCTCTGAGTCCGGGGTAGAGAAACCAGTGACCATGGTGAAGAGCACACATTGTGCTCAAAAGAAATCCATTCTACTTTCATAAAAGAATGGTACTTTTTTTTTTTTCAGATAAAACAACATACAAAGCAAAAAGTGACCAAAACTCTACTATACTTAATGGATAAGATTTCTACTACTTCTGCCTATAAATCAAATGACGCCCTTGGAGAGCATTTTAGGGATTAATAGTCATCTGATCTACATAAATAAATTATAAGAGCTGATTTTCTGGATTCCTTTTTCTAGAATGATGTGGTCTGTGTCAGGAGGAAAGCTGGCTGGGCCTGACTATGGCCTGTGTGATGCCAAGCTGTGTTTCTTAGTCTCCTTTTCTTCCCACTTCCCAGCCATCATGGGCCCATCGTACTCCAGGGCCAGTGAGAAGTGCCAGTTAGTGACTGGACAGGTTCACTTGCCACCTGCCTGCATCCAGACAGAGCAGTGCCCCTGTGGGTGCTTCCTGATCCAGAGTGATAAATAGGATGCAAATATCTTCTTTTTAACACATGACCTTGGCATAGCCAGATGGAATATGAGCGCTGGGGCCTCAGAGCAGTAACTTTTTGCTTAGAGCTTGAGAGTTAAAGGTAAAGACTCACAAGTACACTTGGGCTCTCTCCAACGGAAGGTGAGTAAAGTCAATTACCTTCAGATTATCAATAAATGAAGAATGATAGTAATTACTGGACATTTGACTGCTAAAAATGATGTGATTTTACAAAGCAAAGAACATAAGAAAGTTTCTCTCTTGTGGCGACTGCTTAAGAGTTCTTCTCATTATCAGACCTGATATCAGACTGAGGGTTGAAACAAATCTTAGTAGAACCAAAAAATTAATGCATTTATTTTCCGGTTTTAATGTTTTATATGGTCTGGGAAGGAAAAGAGTATTTTTAGTTTATAAAGTACCAATTTTTTTTTAGTTCTTTTAAATCTCTTTTGATATCATTTTTAAATGTTTTATTCTCAGAAATATTGAAAAGCGAACCCATGTTCTTTATACTGAAGATCTGATTGTGATCCGAGGCCAGGGGTGTCATTTACAATGACATTGGAGTCTCACGCTGCTTTGGATGATTCGGTCAAACAACTGGTCAAATTAATGGAGAGAAATTCAGCTGACAATTACTTTAGACATAGTGAGCTATCCAGAGTTCAAATTTTTAAAAGTTTGATTATATCTTATTCAATTCAACATATGGCTATAGAATACTTAAGGAATAAAGGAGAATTTTGATAAGCTGCTCTGGAGGATAGTGTGAAGATGTTGAATTTATGATCTAGAGTAGGAGATTAGTAAAACATATTTATAAAAGTCAAAGCCAAAACAGTAGAAAAAAAGTATAGGTATATGTGTATTTATGAGCCTGGCTACTTTTCCTGTATAATCCTAAATCTTTCTAACTTTTAAAATTATAATATTCATATTATCCCCGAATGAGAAATAGTTGAATAAAAATTATGAAAGTAAAAGAGAAACTAGCTAGATGCTGCATACACTAATTTTAATTATTTTATTTTATTTAGGACGACAGTATGGATACAAAATCCATTCTAGAAGAACTTCTTCTCAAAAGGTCACAGCAAAAGAAAAAAATGTCACCAAATAATTACAAAGAGCGGCTTTTTGTTTTGACAAAAACAAACCTCTCCTACTATGAGTATGACAAAATGGTGAGACCCTATTTATTCCAGTGTCTTTATACTATTTATTTTTCTTAAGGCTCTACAAAGTGCTTAATTATAATGAAACAATATCAGGTTTCTTAGTTTACATGGTAAAAATCAACTCACCCTCACTTTCACATTGTCTTTTTTTAACCAAGATATAATTAACTAAAGATAAAGGATTTTAAAACATTGGTTAACTTTACCAAGGCAATTTGTAAACCACTTTAGAACAATGGATCTCAACTAAGGGTGATTTTGCCCCCCAGGGAACACTTGGTAATGGCTAGGGGCATTTTTGGTTGTCATAATTGATGGGGTCGGGTTGTATTCTAGTGGGTAGAGGCCAGGGATGCTGCTAAACATTTTATAATGCGCAAGACAGCGCCCACCATAAAGAATTATCTGGCCCCAAAGAGTGCTGAAGAAACCCTGCCTTAACAACGCTGGAAATGGGACTATTTCTATACGGTTGAGAATTCTATCACAGTAGAAATACTGAAATACTGTCATAAAATTGAAACGACATGAAGAGGCTTCGTGGAGTTGAATCTTAATTTCCCTGAGTAGAGTAACCATATGGCAGGTGATTTGAAATGTATTTCAAGATTATCAAACAAAAGTTGAAATGGGTTTCAAGGTTATCAAACAAAATTTGAAATGGGTTTCAAGATTATCAAAACCTGCTGCTTGAAGACTTGCTTTTGGAAGAGTATATGAGTTTAGGTCCACACTCGAAAAATATATTCTGTTGTCATTCGATTTTGACTATTATGGACAAATTGGTCTGGTTCTCACATGCCCATCCCATCTTCCAATCTCCCTTCCAAGCATGACCTTAACTTTATGCTTTTCTGTGTATCGCATGAGGCATCTTATATTTTGTTTTTTAATTCAGAAAAGAGGCAGCAGAAAAGGATCAATCGACATTAATAAAATCAGATGTGTGGAGAAAGTCAATCTCGAGGAGCAGACCCCTGTGGAGAGACAGTACCCATTTCAGGTAAGGGGAAGACAACACTTTAGATGGGTGGCTTGTCTTTCAATGTTTTCTATGATGAAGTCAATATATCAGAGATAAATAAAGATGTCGTGAAATAATTCATTAAGATGATGACAAGGTTTGGAACATCTCCAGATGGGATTTGGGCAGTTTGCTAAAATTCTATCTGCCCATCTGCCTTTCCTAGGGGGAGAAGAATAAAGGTGAGTATGTCAGCCGCAGTGGCTTGACTTGCCTTGGGCTCTGCCAGTCTCTCTCATCAAACACTGATGGGCATTTCCAATGTGCTACAAGGTACTAGGCAGCTATAGGGAATAAAATACCATTCCTATCCCCAAGGCATTTACTGATCATTGTGATGCAGTGAGGGTGAGTGTTAAGGTGAAGGTCAGCAGAGTAGCCATGGTGCCCCAAGAAGCAGAAGCTTCACTTCTCACTCTAAGAAGTCAGGGAGATTTTCTATTGGAGGTAGGTCGGGAAGGACCAGTAGAGTTAAATAGGCAGCAAAACAAAAGAAACAGCAGATGTCAAGGCACCGATAGGTGAAATAGTATGGCAGCTTTGGAGCGCTCCAAGTAGTCCTTATGAATAAAGCAGCCCTGTGAAAGAGTGGAAGAGATGAGCCTGGAAAGGTAGGCAGGGCCGCATCACGAAGGGCTTTGCACAGCATGCTAGGAGTTTTCATTTTACCCTGAAGTATTTTTTTAAATGGTATGCTATGGAGAATGTGCCTTCGGTACCCTTGGGAAGTGGCTTGATCTAAGTCATGCCCTATTTTTATTATATCACGAATACCTTTCTGATCTAATGGCAATGGACTGCTCTGCCAATGTTCAGACTATGCAGTACTAGTAGTATAAGAGAACTGTGGCCGAAATGAAAACAAAGTATTCAATTACTGAACAATCTACACTTCCCACTTCAAAAAACAACATTACCCAGTTGGGAGAAACCAGGAGAACGTGTGCTCATGGAAGATGCTTCAAATTCATATCACAGGGGCATGGGCTACTCAAAAGAACACAGGCTTTGGAGCCCCACAGAGTCCCTCAACACTGCTTAGGCTTGTGTAACCACAGACAACATACTCGATCTGAGTTTATTTCTTCACTTGCAAAATGGGTATAATCATATATTTTTCAGAGTTGAAATAGGATTAAAATATTAAAGTATCTAGGGAAGAGCCCAGACACTAGTAGATATTTAATAAATGGTCTCTACTATTTACCAACAAAAGTTGAATAAACCAGAGGGGGATCTGGGGAAGACAACGTGATCGAACATTTAAACAAGTGTCTTAGGAATAGAAAATGACTTATACTGGCGATTCCTAGGGTGACGCATGACCCAAGGGAATAACTAACAGTAAAAGGGGGGACACGTTTTCACCAAATGTAAGCACGAACTATACAATGATCAGAATATATGAAAATTGGCAAGGATGGCGTAGCAAAAGTAAAGAAAAGTCCACCCCTGAAGATATGTTTAAGGATAGAGCAGATAAACATTTCCAGTTGGCTGTAAAGAGTCGTGTACTAGGTAGGTGATAGGACTAGACACTCCTAAGACACCTGCAATATCTAACATTTTATAATTTTCAAATTCTCCATGGTCCAGGGAAACCCTGCTGTAATTTTCCAAAGTGTAGAGGTGTCTGAGTTAAAACAAATTGAAAGGTGGAGGACAAAAATAACTAGATTTTTTCCATCTCATTCCAGAGCTAATTGATATTACATAAGCAAACTCAAGGTTTCTTCTGGATAACAGAACATTTGCAGTTGCGCCAGAGTGAACTATGATGTACTTATATCGAAATGTACCAAATCTTTTCATTTCCAGATCGTTTATAAAGATGGGCTTCTCTACGTGTATGCGTCAAATGAAGAGAGCCGAAGTCAGTGGTTGAAAGCATTGCAAAAAGGTAATTTTAAAAAGTCATGAAAGCAAGTCATCGACAGTTCTTTTGAGGCTTGGCGGAGGAAAGACATGACAGTAAAAGAACCCAATGCCAAGAGAGAATCTACTGATTTGCCTACCAACATCAGAGAATGTACCATGCTTATCCTCATTTTTCATTCTCATTGTTACATAGGGGAAGTCTGGGGATCAGATTCCCACTCGCCTCTACTCCGCACAGAGCTGGCTATTGTGCCTTCCCAGGAACTGGGAGTAAGGCAGGACACCTGCTGGCTCTCCATCCACTGTACTTGCCTTTACCAGGGCAAAGTCTATATCCTCACTGGGCTTTGCCAGGTCCTATAGTTACTGTACTTCGGATGTTTATAGAAAGTTATATCTAATACTAAGTACTTATCATTTGCCAGCTACTGTATCAAGTATTTGGAAAATATTTCCTTAGGTAATCCTCTTGACAACTCTAATCCTCAGGTCATACTGTTCTCCATGTTTTCAGATAAGTGAGTTAAAGATACAAGGCCAGTGTCACAAACCTAATAATGAAGCGCTCATAATTTAATTACCCAAATCCAACTTTTTAACCAGGACAGTATAAATGCTAGGCTTCTGGGAAAGCTCAAGGCCAGAAACTAGTGTTTTATAAACTTAATTCCTTTTGTTTTTTTGTGATTTCTGTAATAATTTCCATCGAATCCCCATTAATATTTTAGTAAAGTTTCTGTTTAATGCCAGCCTTTTCAGGTAAGCTGAGCTGAGTTAAACTAAAGGAATGGTATTACTAAAGCCCACTGTTCATTGAACACCTACTCTGGGCCAAACACTGTGCTGGATGTTTTATGTACATTTCCTCATTTCCTTCCAATGACCCAGCAAAGTAATTATTATTACTGCCATATACTTCATGGAGTCAAGGTTGAGAAGGAGCAGAATTCTCCCGTGATCAGAATAAGGAATCCTCAATATGAATATAAAATCAAGAAGGAAAGAACACAGAAGACCAGCCCTCTCCACCTGGAGACTCTTCTTAAACTATTCTCCACTAAGGCCTTGTAGGTTTCTCTGCTGTGTTTTAAGAGAAGATAGCTTGCTGCAGACACAGTATTACACTCCAACAGTAGAATTTCATTTCTTTGGGTCTCTTTGTCCTGTTCTCATGGGTTTTAAAATATGCACATGTTCCTACAAAAGTAGCTCCATAAACTATTAATTCTTTAGTGTAAACAGGTCAGTCATGAAAGACAAAGAAGGGATGAGAAACTGTTCTAGATCAAGGCAAACAAGATCATTAAATGCCATGTGTGATTCTGGACTGGATCCTTGATCAGAAGACACTGAATGATCATAAAGGTTATTATTGGAACAATTAGAAAAAAATTGAATATGAAAAATATATTAAGTAATGGTATCGTATCTGTTAAATTTGCTGAATTCGATAATTGTATTATGGTTACATAAGGGAATGTCCTTGTCAACAGAAGTTACATGCTGAAGTATTTATGGGTGGCATTATTTAGGACATAATATCTGTAACTTACTTTACAATGGTTAAGCAAAATACAATGATAAAAATATATAATAATAATAATAATAATAAGTATGTACGTACAAAGAAAGATAAAGCAAATATGTCAAGCACTTAAAAACTGGTGAATCCGGGTAAAGGGTATATAGACATTCATTGTACTATTCTTGCAACTTTTCTATAAGTTTGAAATGCTTCAAAATGAAAAGTGGGAGGAATGTATGTTTATTAGATATTCTTTTCTTTTTGCCAAGATTTAGTTCTACCCTCAGCTTCTTTCTGTCATAAGAGAACACCATGTATTGTAACCCACCAACTTCTTTGTGGATGTGTTTCTAAAATCCTAACACCAAGTTGATCTGTATATGCATTTTCTACTAGGTTTTTTTAAAGACTGTCATAGTTATTGTGTTCTCACTATATACATGATTAGACTTTTCTTTTTGGCTTTTTAACTTCTAAGTGAAAGACTCACATCCTTTGGGAACCATTTGCTCTTACCCTGGTTGCTGGCAAAATGAAGTTTTCATTGTTCTGTGATAACAGTGCTTACTGAATGTGCTTGTTCTCTTGGGCCAACGTTTACTCATGTTGTGTTTTCTTCCTGCCTGCTCCCCAGAGATAAGGGGCAACCCCCACCTGCTGATCAAGTACCACAGTGGGTTCTTCGTGGACGGGAAGTTCCTGTGCTGTCAGCAGAGTTGCAAAGCAGCCCCAGGATGTACTCTCTGGGAAGCATGTAAGGTGACCCCTCCATAGGGTGGATTATGCCCCATTAGGCAAATTTGCCACATGTCCGAACAGCTTGCCAGTTCAAGAAAACAAGATGTGCCAGATTGGTTGGCATCATGAAATTCTAGTTTCAAAGATGCTATCTGGCAAATGAAGTCTACTTCGAGGGTTAATGTTTATTAAAATAATAACAATAACATCTGCTATTCTTTCACTTCATTATAAATATTTTTTTAAATTTGAATCCTGATCAAGTAAGGAGATGTTTATTCCTTCTCATAATTCTTCCTGGTTTAAGATAAATTCCAAATAGGTAGAATGTGGTAAACATATCACCACGGTTCACAAACTAAAATTATAAACTGAAAAAAACAACATTTTTAAAAAACATATGTTAAAGGATAAAATTTAAGTAACACTTTTAATCACCATATATAACAAATGACGGATGGCCAAGTTTTAAAAGATATATTTAAAATGGATTGCCTTTCCGTACGTATTTGTTTTCTTAATAACATCAGAGAAAGTAGTGAAGGGTTTGCTTCAAGTGCAATCGGATTCTATCCAGAGTTATATTCCTAGGGAAATCTGCCTGAGACTTTATTTGGTGACAGAAAAGAAAGCCCACTGAGTGGCTTTGAAGGGGTAATGGAGGGAAAGAATTATGTTATTTTCTGCTTGTGCCCTTGAAAGCTATTTCTTTACCAGGATACTTACATAAGGCAGTCTTATATATTTTAGAAGTTTATCATTGTTTAACAACATGAAGTTGTCAATAAATAAAAGAGAACTTATTTTGGTAAGTTTTACCAGCCTGGAAAAAATATGCTTACATTACAATGACTTTAAAGAATTGAATGAGATCAGTATTGACACCTAACAATTATGTTTGTTACTCCTGGTCATTTTACAACAAAACAATGAATATTCATTGTGTTTTCCATCTCGATTAAACTATACAATGATATTTATTAACCTTAATTAGATCACATTGCTCTTATATTCATGAATCACAGTGATTTGATGAACTATACAGAATTTACTGTACGTGGGCCTTCCCTGCACTGTGAGGGGCTGAGGAGTAATGTGTCCTTATGACATTAATCATTTCCCTCAATGATTCTGTCTGTGGTCTGGCATCATTACCCAGCAGGCCAGATTCCAGCTCTGACCTTGCCCTAATTCCCAGAGGAGGAGCAGGAAAAAGGCCAGAGAGAGCACTGCCTTGGGATTATCTTCCTAGGATCTGTCTCGACGCCACCTGTCATGTGTCCTGGGTGCCACCGGCTCTTTGCCAGCCTCTGAAGAAAACTACAGAATGTATATGTGTAATGGCCCACAAGCAGCTGTGATATTGACTATGGGCCTGACTGTAATTTATTACCTTGGTCTCCTCTGCCGAGCTATGAGGGAGCCCATAGGCACTGAATGGAAACAGTTGAGTATCTGTGCTTCCTTCTGTCTCCAAAATGCCCTGGACCACTCTCTTTCCAGGATAGGTGGCCTACAAGTAAGTTGACCATATGTCCCAGTTTCTTTGGGGCATTCTCATTCTGCAGCTGGTGAACTGGCATAATGATTAAAAGCCTACCTATTAATGTCAGAAATGTTCTCGTTTGGTCAATAAGCCATATGTCCATCCCACTTCTATGGCATATAATGGCTTCACATTTACAGCCTGGACATGTATCTACATGTATGCGTAGAAAGAACCAACAATTATCATAAGAACAGGGGGAGAAAAGCAGGGCATAGGTTCGTTCACTAATAAATCAGCTATTTATAAGCATCTTGTATGAGCCAATCAAAGATGAATCGGACATGGATTCTGAATCCTGGGGTCATAGGTACTATACAAAGGATTAGATATATGCTACTCAAATACAAGGTGGAAATGTATAAATTAATAGTTTTTAGGATTTAGAGGAACTTGAAATTTTCAGGGAAGATATTGATATCAATGGTGGAGGAGTGGTGTTTGAGTTGATGTTATACAGGAAAGCAACAGAATCATACTAGATATTGTTTCTAAATTCATTTAATCTGGAGGATTGCTAACATGAGCTAGTTCTTTCTTTTGATTCATAACACTGGATGTTTTGCTTTGCTCTAGTTAAAGTTCCTCCTGCTATTACCTGGTTTTACTTTTCAGATGCTGATCTGCACGTTGCAACAAAGGAAGAGAAACACAGAGCCCCCACCTTCCCAGACAGAGTGGTAAGCCAACATTTAAATTTTTCCTGGTCAAGACATATTAAATAAACCAAGTTGCCAGATTCAAGACTAGAAAATATGGGTTTCATTCAGACTGCTCAGCAAAGAGAGAAAAATCTGTGATCTATCACCAATAGCAATGGCAGTATCAAATAATAATTAAAATACAGAATCGTTTTATAACTGGGCCTCTTTCTAACCTATATGCATATAATCGCTGAAAATGAGTACATGTGAGAGAAATTCTTAAGATGGCATCGCACATAACAGGCAGCTGTTACTAGCTGTCATTAGTCTCCTACCACCGGCATGGCTAAGACTGCCTCATGTTAGTCTCCTGGTGAAGGAATGGGACCCCACAGGGCACTAACAGAAAACATTATTCTTTCTCGCCATTATCCCTTCAAAACCACTTGTGGGCTTTATTCTCTGTCCCTGAATGGAATCTCAGGGAGATTCCATAGTTTTCTAGTCACTCTCAGATGACATAAATTTCCCCGATTACTAGTAGTCACGAAAATAGCCTCTAAATTGTCCCATTTAGTCAAATATAGGGGGGTAGGGGAAAGGATAAAGCGGGTAAAGGGGATCGAATATATGGTAGCTGAAGGAAACTGGACTTTGGGTGGTAAACACACAGTAGAATATACAGATGTTAAATTATAATGTACACCTGAAAATTATATAATTATGTTAACCAATGTTACCCCAATAAACTTAATCATAAATAAATAAATAAATAAACAAGCAAACAAACGAACAAACGAACGAATAAATAAATAAATAAATTGTCCCATTTAACGTTATAATCACACACATCCAAACATCTTTCCAAGTTAAAACTTTTCCCTTTCACCTCGCTCAAGTCTGCATCAGAGGGAGGCCTGCTTTGGGGGAGGGGTCATGGGGAAGCTGAGATTTTCTGACCCTTTCAGAGTTGGGGCCCAGGAAGAGCAGGTCTAATGAAAAAGAGACAGTCATATGTAGTTGGTCCCATCATGATTTAGTAGTGGCGGCTTCTGGGTGAGACAGTTTTCCAATGCTGATTCTTTATCTTATGGGAGACTTTCATGAGTTTCCCACTGGGGTGCACATCTAAATGTAGTTTTATGACAGAAGAAATATCTTGACCCTTAACTTTTGGGTCTCTGGCCCTCAATTTTACTGCTGGGTCAGTTCACCAATCTGGAACAGAGTTCCTTTCAAGATGGCGCCCAGCCAACCCTCTCCCAAGGGGAGTTGGCCTCCAGGAAAATAAACAAAACCTTGACTACTTTGGTTCATACAACTGTATGTGGCTTGTTCTTGTAGTACAGGCTGCCGCAACCCTTGTGCTCTGCTTTTTTAGGTTCACAGCTATAGCTTTCTTCTCTTAGCCTTCCCAGGCAGGTTATCAGCCTCCTCCAATGCCAAGAGACACATAAAATGGCCTCCAAGTGGTTCTCTGGAAGCTCACTTGATATTAAGGGAGCATCTCTATCTATCGATCAGTTCTATGGTATCTTGGGTATTTATTTTCAGTTACACGCGTTCACACACACTTCTTTCTAAGTAAAAACAATATTTCTTTGTGAACCAACATGAAGGGCAAAAATAAATCTATTATAATAGGTTGAATTGTGTCCCCCAAATTTCATGTTCACTCAGGATGCGACCTTATGTGGAAATAGGGTCTTCGCAGATGTCATTAGTTAAGGACTGAGATGAGATCATCCTGGATTAGGATGGGCCATAAATCTTACAAATGGTGCCCTTACAAGAAGATGAGAGGTTAGAGATACGCAGAGAAGAAGACCATTTAAAGGCCTAGGCAGTGATTGGAATCATGCGGCCATAAGCCAAAGAATGCCTAGAACTACCAGAAGCTGGAAAAGGCAAGCAAAGATTCTCCCTTGGCACTTTTTAAAGACTGCGGGGCCATGCTGAAACCTTGATTTTGGACTTCTGGCACTCAGAACTGTGAGAGAATAAATTTCTGTTGTTTTAGTCCACCAAATGTGTACTCATTTGTTATGGCACCCCTAGGAAACGAATACAATTATTAAGGTTTGGGATTTTATTTCGTTATCAGAGATATTGCTGTTTTTGTTTGGCTACATGCTCCAGTCCCAAAGCTTGACAATCATGGTCCCGTAAAACGCCTAAGCGCAATGTCCAGACTAATCTATAAGGCAAATCTATTAGGACAGAAGGTCCATTAGTGACTGCCTGAGGCCAGGATGGGAATAGGAAATGGCTAAAAATGGGCATGAGGGATCTTACAGGGATGATAGAAATGTGCTCAGACTGGATTATGGTGATGGTTGGCCAACTTGATAAATTGACTAAAAGTCACTGAATTCTACACTTATAAAGGGTAAATTTTATGTTATGTAAATTATACTACGATAAAGTTTGTTTTAAACAAGTCTAAGGGCAGGGAATAATTTAGGAGCCAGAAACCATTGCATCTAGTCTCCAGCAAGGAATTCTTTGGGAAATGTGTTGAAAATTATCAGTCAGGCAAATCAGTGGCCAAGGACTGTTTTGATTATAAATTGCCCTAAGGGATCAGGGATCAGAGAGAGTATCAGGAAAAGTATGTGTTTCCTTTGCCTTGTTTTTACAGGAGCATTCAAGAGAGAACTTACTTTACTGAGCTAGGAAAATAAAAATTTGCTTTCTAGCTGTTCTGTTCAGACTTCCTATTAGGGAAATTTCCACTGTATTTATCTTTGGAGAGAACCACCCCACAGCTCATAAATAGCAGCGTCCTGCATAACTAACGTTTCCGGGATGTTAATCCCTGGAAAAAAATCCAATACAGTGTGAAAAAAATAACTTCAGCACTTATATAAGTTCGATGTGAATTTTTAATTGAAGTATAACATGTACTTAGAAAAGTGTACAAGTCCTAAGTGTTCAGCTTTGATGAATTTTCACAAACTGAACATATCTGTATAAGCGGAATCATGAAGTATATCGTTGTTTATTGTCTGGCTTCTTTTGTTCAGTTTATGGCATTTGCCCATTTTTTAGTATATGGTTATACTTTATTCTCATTGCTGTATAGCTTTCAATCGTGTGAATATACCACTGTATTAGTTTCTTATTGCTGTTGCAACAAATTACCACAAATTTAGTGACTTAAAGCGACACAAATTTATTCTGTCAGTTTTGAAGATCAGAAGTGTTAAATGGGTCCACATCACTGTGTTCCTTTTGGGGACTTTGGGAAAATTTATGTCCTTGCCTTTTGCAGCTTCTAGAGGCTACCTACATTTCTTGGTTACTGGCCCCTTCCTCCTTCTTCAGGGCCAGCAAAGTAGCATCTTTCCTCTCTGATCTCTGCTTTCATTCTCTCATCTTCTCCCTAATCTCTGAACTTGCCGTCTCCTTCTTCTAAGGGCCCTTTTGATTACATCGGGCCTACCCTGATAATCCACAATAATCTCCCCATCACAAGATCCTTAACATAATCACATCTGCAAAGTCCCTCTTACCATTCGTTATTTAACCTACTACAACCACAATATGTTTATTGTTTTAACCTTTTAATGGGCATTTAGGTAGCCTCCACTTTTCATCTAACTGAAATAATCCTGCTATGAACATTCTTTTACATGTCTCTTTATTTCACTGTTGGGTATGTATATAGAATTTCTAGATCATAGGGTATGTGCACATCCAGCTTTAGCGGATTCTGTAAACGGCTTACCACTTCATACTCCAACCAGCAAAGTAGGAGAGTTCCAGTTGCTCCAAATCTTTGCGAATGCTCAGTAATACCCCTTCTTTCCCTCTTCCTCCCACTCTCCCTCTCGTCCTCCCCCTCGCCCGCCCCCTCCCCTTTCCCTTCCTTCCTTCCCTCCATTTTAAGAGTTAATGTACTTTGCTTGCTGGTTACCAGTACATGAATCTGTGCCTCACTGTGATATATTAAAATCTCTTGTCTTCCAAAGCTGAAGATTCCTCGAGCAGTTCCTGTTTTCAAAATGAATGAACCATCTTCAAGTACCACTGTAGCCCATGACAGTGACTCAAAGAAAAACTATAGCTCACAGCCGAATGTCAATATGCGGTACACTCCAAGAGAAGACTGCCCTGACTGGTGGCAAGTAAGAAAATTGAAAAGGTAAAACTCAGCTTTTTGTCTGGCTGCCTAGCATGTAGGATAGACATCACGCCATCGCCTTGGACCTCAGCATCAAGGCCACTGACGCAGATCTTAGCTAAGATAAGGCTGCCCTCTCAGAAAACGTTCAGTGCTTGAGCCAGAAGCCAGAAGCAGCAGCCCCGCTGGGAGTGAGCAGCATGACGTTTCCATTTGGACTATCCAATCTAATGATCTGAGGAATACTCGAGCATTTTATTCCCTATTTTCTCTCCCCCTTTTCTCCAAATAACCCCACATTCCAGAACTCCAAATCTTTAAAATGTATCCTTTATTTGAGAGAGTTTAGAGTAGGCTGACTTTTGTGATGTGCTTTGGCATCACTGGCCAAATGACAAGTAGCATTTGAAGCGAGGCGCGGCTTGCCTTCTCAGGATGTGCGCCTCCGCCTCTTCTGACATTAGCTTCCTTGTATTTCATTTTGGGTGTTGAGCAGAGCATACAGCCTAAAGCCAAAATCGAAACTACTTTGAAGGCAGTAACTAAATTGTCTATATCTCTGGGGTCTGTCACCGAGAGGGCCCCGCACTTGATGCTCAATAAATATGGAATTGAATAGCAAGAGGACAATATGAGAAAGGGTCGGGTGACCATCGTTCCTTATTTGCTGCCTCATTCTTCCTTCCCATCATGCTGTTCATTGTCTGACATCTTCTCACCCAGTTATTAGCATCCCTCCAGGAATGTCTTTCCCACAATGGATGCAGAGCATCTCTCTAACTCACCAAGTATCTATTTTCTTTTGTTTTCTCCCTTGTCTTCTCATCCTTTTATTCTTTCCATCCTCATCATTTTTTACCTAAAGCAAATGCCTAACTGTACTAACAATACAGCCACAGGGCTGTGTGGAACTTGAAAGAATGTAAGTGTATTCTTGTTGTTGTGTTCAGTATAACAAGCTGTGATACCTTTCTTCCCAAAGTAGAGCTGGAATCCAAGTAGATTAATCTACAGCTGGTGCCTGAGGGCAGGGGTTAATTTGCTTGCAGCCAGTGTTCTTGTGGAAGGAGACAATGGACAAGCCCAGATCCAAGGTGGAGAGATGGCATGTCAATTTTGCGCCAGGTCCCCTTCCTTCCAGAAGCCCCAGTGATTCATTGAGGGAGGTACACAGTGAAAGCAACTGACCAGTATCTAAATAAGCAGCAGCACTATGGATTCACATGGGGTTGCTGCAGAGCTATCGACTCGCAGATCCTATCTTTATTTAAAATGATCATATTTTTTATCATGGATTTTTGCATGCATTTTTACTTTAAAAACATTTTATTAAAACACGATTTATCTTGACTACTGAATTTTTTTGACACCGCTTTTAGATTTTGCATCCAATATTTAATCCTGACTCTGGATTTTTCCCTAGAACTTCAGAAAGCTAGTTATCTGGACAAAGGGTTGAATAATCACTTCTTAGCTTGAGCAGCATTGCACCGTGTAAGCGAATTGTTATAATTGCTAAAAGGTCCTCATGGAGCTGCTATTTTAAAAATGTAGCCATGATTCTCAGTTCATATAAGTAGATAATATTTCTTATCAACTTTCTGTCATTTATACTATCTTCGCTGAGCGCTTTTTAATCTTTATTTTTTTCCGAGTAGTAAAATAATTTGTGCTCCTGTTAAAGCATTCGAATAGTGCAGAATCTTCAGTGTATGTGCCTCTAAAATGTTTTCTATGCACATGTTACAAATATAGAGAACTTAAAAATCAGTATTCTTAAAGACCACACAGTCTTTTTTGGCACTTGCTGTTTTCTCTTAATGTCTTGAACATTTTCTCCATTTCAATACCTGAGCGTACACTGAATTATTTAAATTTAAATGTTGCAAAACAACAGAATTTACCATCTTAGTCATTTTTTAAGCATACGGTTTTCCAATGTTAAGTACATCCACCTTGTTGTGCAATTTGCCTGTTTCGAATGTTGATATAGAATTCCGTTATATACAGAAACCTAATGCGCTGTTGATGGCCATTCTCCATATGTTCTAAGAAACGACAGAAAGGCTAAATAATTTTTTAGCATTTTAAATAAGAGTTTTCTTGTGAAGCGTTGAAGTATAAAAGCTCTGCTAGTGAGCAAGGCTCTCTGGGAAGGTGGAGAGGGAGGCACCTCTGGAAAGTGAGCCAGAGAGCATTTCCTTATTAAGGAAGCTTGTCGCTATGAAGTGTGGTTTTTGAATAAGAGCCTGAGATATGAAGGCAAACAGGAAATAGGTCCTACATTCCAAATAAAACAGCCTTTGAATTTGGAGAGGTAGGCACTTCCTCGTGCTCTTCTCAACACCCAAAATGAAAGAGAAAATGATGGATGGCAAAGGATGACGAAAATTTTGCCGATCCATCTGTGCCCACATGGTGTTGAAAATTCAGGGTTTTCAAGACTCTTAACTGCAATCACAACATGAAAGAAGAAAATAAATTATTTTAAAATATAAGTGACAGAACGCTGACGTATCTATTCAGAAAATCAGGACAAACCCAATCAGGCTGATTTATTAATCCAAGTCTTCTACTGTTTGGGGTTATTATAAGCCATTAACAGTTCACTTTTGATTAGGGATACTGTCAAACTACTGCTTAGTATCGAGGTCCCTGCAAAGATGAAAATGTGAAAATGACTCATTAGCTTAAATTTCAAACCAAGTGAAATGTATGGGTCGAAATGTTGAGTAAAGCTAGAACATATCTAGCAAAATTACTTTTGGCATTTAACATTTGTAAATAAACATAAATTTACAAAAGATATCTTTTTTTTTTTTTTTTTTTTGTAGCGGTGAAGATTTTGCCTGCAGTAACCAAAGAGAAACAAATGTGAATCACAGCACATCAAAGATGTCATGGTATATCGAATTCAGATAGTCCTTCACACCCGGGATTTGCTTCCATTTGCAGGAAAACTAACCAAATTTGCAAAAATTTTGCAACTAGACTTTACGTTTAAAGTAAATATAAAACCCAAAAATCCGTGTAGTTTGCTTCTCTGAACCTTTAAGTTGGTCTGAATTGATGACTTGTGGGTTAATATTTTCCTTGCACTA